GTTTATTCATTTTTAATATTTATTTTATATTTTTTAAAATTAATATTAGAAAGAATATTTTAAATAAAGATATGATATTTTTTAGCTTCACATTATATTTTTATTGAATTTTATTCATTTTTATTGTATTTTTATTTATTTTTAAAAAAAGTGAATAATAATTCATTTGATCTCTCAACTGTAATTAAAATTTTATTTTAATATTTTTAAACAATTAATTTTAAAAGACAATAAACATTATTAACTGTTGTTAAAAATAATATCACAAAAAATAAATAGATAAAGTTGGCGTTTTTACACAAATATCACGCTAACATAAATTAATTATATATTAGACACCAATTTACAATTATTTACAAACTAGCACCTGAGTTTTTTACACGTTTAACAAGACGCGTTGCAGGGGCGCGCCTTACCCTACTTGGCGCCTGATCAGCGTAAAAAACGGTGCTAGGGCACGTATTTCTGCAAAAGGTGTTAGATCAGAAAATATAGTCTGAATGGTGTTTGACAGGGAAATAAAGGGGGCTAGGATGATTTTTCGGGAAAATCACCGTTTGATTAAGCTTTTTAATCATTTTCTTATAATCACATACTTAATTTGTGTTCTTTGATGATTTTCACGTAAGATATTATGAATTTATTATATTTTTATTTAATTAAAAAATCAAGTACTCTTATTAGTTAAAATATTAACTTTCATTCTATTTATCTAAACAACATCGAAGAACTTTGAATCTTAAATTTGATACGTCCATCTATGTATTCACTTTCTACCATGTATATAATGTCCATATCAACAGTTGTTTCAAATGAGAAATAATTTAAATTTAAAATATTATAATTATCAAACTAAAATAATAATAAAAGAACAAAGTTTTAATATAAGAAAATTTAAATATGCAAAGAGTACAGGGACGTGAGCATAAATAGATTTCTATTACGAAAAACCGAGCACTACTAAAACGTTTTAAACTTTAATATGGTATCAAGGATCGCAGAAGCCCCTATAGCTCAGTGGTAGAGCGTCAGTCTTGTAAACTGAAGGTCTGTAGTTCGATCCTGCATGGAGGCACTTTTAATTTTTAATTTTTTGCTTGTTTTCTTTTCTTCCCCATTATTGCCACTAACTTAAAAATATGTTGGAACTTGGAACCAAATAGCTGTAGTAAACTGGCACAAAACACAGAGATCGTCACAGAAACAAGAAAATTATAAAGCAGAACAGAAATTGAGGATTCGATCCTAACCGCCAACATCCCCTTTTGCTGGATATTCTAAAGGCCTTCGCATAACTTCTTTGGCTAATCTTCATACTCTCGTTTGTAAATTGTAATGCAAAACTCTTATGACATGCAGGTTGAGAAACCTGATAACTGTGAACTTGCTGCTGCCTTCAAAGCAATTCCTACTTAGGCCATTATTCCATCCTCTTACCTAACACAATACCGGAGATACGAGCCAAACGATCTTAGTGATTAAGAGATGGTTATTATTCTTAGATGTCTCAGATTTGAGTACGACATATGTAAGTGTTTGTTTATTGTCTTCCGAACATCTACTTTATAATTATCTCGTACTAAAAAAAAGCTGGAGAATCAGTTTCTATATATAATTTTTTCCTTTTCTAATAGGAAAAGAAATAAAGGGTATTAAAAGAAATGGGAGTAGGGTTGCTGACGGGTTAACCAAGCATGCATGGGAACTCCCTGGGGGAAGCAATGATGATCCGGAATGAAGAATTAGTTTAGGCGATTGGCCTCTAACAAAAAATAAAAAGGATCAGATACATTGATATTAATATGATAAAAAAAAACTACTACAGAAATCTCACCATACGTAAATCAATTGAAAATTTTAAAAAGTTAATTGACTTGACAATTACATCTGCCACCATATTAATTTCACAGTTATCCAACATTTTACTTACATCTTGGAAATTGTTGGAACTAATGATGAAAGGGCTATAAGTAAGTGAGGATCACAGATGAGTTTAGCAGTTTGTGCACAGTTAGTTTGAACCTGAAGATGTTCCATACCACAAACTTTTTCACAAGACACATCTCTTTTAGTGGTATTTATCGAGCGAGTCGATCCCGAATTAGACAATATTTGATTCGTACTCGTCAAAATATTCTATGGTTTAACTCGACTCGTTTCTCGTTAAACTCGTTAAAATTTTACTAGGCTTGTTCTCTCTAAAAAAAATTATTGTTTGATTCATTGCTTGTTAAGCTCACCAAATTTTTTAGTATGATAATTAGTGTTTGATTTATGGATGTAGTAAATTAATAATTTAATAAATTTTATTGTTTATTAGAAAATAAATAGATTCATAAATTAATAGTAATTATTAATTAGTAATTTAACATCTTTTTATTATCTATTAGTAAATTAATAATAATTATTCAGATTTTTGTGAATGGGATGATTTTTAAGGTAATTGTTAAAAAAATATAAAAAATAACAAACTACTTGCGAATGACCGTACTCAACTCGATAAAGTATGTAGTAAAACTTGAGTTTGAATCTAATCAATCCAAATCGAACATTGATCAAATTTTAATCGAATTGTTCAATTCATTAAGCACATGAATCCCTTCACAGGTATTCATGTGGAGGAGTTGGAAAAATCAAACCATCAATCACCATAAAAGTTTAATTGTCTGGCATAATGTCAACAAATGTCCATAATATTTAATTAAATAGTTATTTTGACTCATATTCTTTACTTTAAAGTAGTTTTAACCCCCTAACATTTTATTTTGAGATATAAATGGAAATTATTAATTAACAAACTGTTAGCGTTATAAAATAAGGACATTGTTAGTCTAAAATGAAATATTGAGAGTCAAAATTCTTTTAAAAAAAGAATAAAATCCAATGTGACTATTTAATCATATATTAAATGCATTTTTACCCTAAAAAAATATTATAAGTAAAAATGATCTAAAAGAAGAAAATGGGTAAAAATAACCATTTTGATAAATATTAGGACTAATTTTTTATATTATGCCTAACTGTTTCAGCTAGAAGTTATCCTACCGTCCATACAGAGGGAGCGGGCTGAACAGATGATTGTATTTCAACCATTAACATTTTACCCTCAATTATTGACTGTTGAAGTGCAATTAATCAGTTTCAGCAGTATCTATTCACTGTTCATGGGCCATAAACTCCCATTTCCTACGGTATTATATACATAAAATACACGGGTAAAAATGCTCCCATAAAAGGAGCCAAAAACGCCATAAGAAGATTTGGAACAACCACCAAAGTCTGAAATGATTTGCAAAAGCATTTGTTGTTCCACTTGCATGTGCTCTACTTCAATGGCCAAATGATCTGTCCAAACCCCATGAATGAGAGGATATGGTGGTCCCAACCAAATTTTCCTCTGTTTAAAATCTAAATGGCCATGAAGATTCTGGGGATTGGGATTTTAGATGGTCCAATGACATCACAACACAATCCCCAAGTTTTTTATTTAATCCCCAATGGAAAGGGACCCTCCAATCAATTATTGGGACCTGCCTGCAATTGTTTAATAGAAACAAAGGTACAATTATTAATGGCTTTTGTACTCATTATCTCTTCACCAATATTTTGCTTTGTTTATTGCTGCCTTCACTGATTTTTTTTTTCTTCCCCTCCAAACAATGTACGCTATCAATTTTCAAGTCCCCATTTTCTTTTCCAGGAAAAAACCTCAAACTTCTTTCGGAAGGCAGCAATGCGGTCACCTTCTTCCTTGGCTCTTTTTCACAAGCAATCGATTTCAAATCATACGATGACTCAGTCGAGTCAGTCCATGAATATGCTTCTAGTTTCAGCAGTTCATGCTCATTCCCACACCCGTATCTGGGCCTCGTCAGGAGGGGCACCTGCCCAGAGACCCTATCAAAGTAAAATTAATTTTCATATTTTTCCTGTTGAGGCCTCCAACAAAGGTTAAAATTAATTTTTCTGTTTCCTATCGAGGGTCCCAACCAAGGTTAAAATTAATTTCTTTTTTCCTGTCGAGGCCCCAATCAAACAATTAAGACTAATTTTCTTTATTTTATTTTAAATTATAAAAAATTAATGCCTAGACTTATTTTTTAATAATAGTGCTGATCATCCATTAATAAAACAACACAAAGATTAAAAATTACAACCGTAAAAATAACCCAAAAATAAAATTTTAAAAGTGAATATTATTTCAATTTTTGTTTTATTTAATAGAGTCATTATTAATGATTATCCTCTTAGTTTTCCTATGCTCTTGATGTAATCAGTAAACCATATTTATGTTCAGTGGTTGTTCTCTTTTGTTTATAAAATGGGTCGTACGATCAAAAAAAATTATTATTTTGTTTGGATAATATTTTCTAAAAGTTGATAATTCTCTTTTGATGTTTTTTGTATTTGAATTTGAATGTGGTTATCAATTAAGATATAAAGGTTAAAAGCCACTCAAACTAAGTTAAATATAATTTATTAATTTATGATTGTGTTTTAATTTTATTTATGTATATTCTGACTTTTTTATTATGTTTATAGTTTGTAGTTGTCAATTATATTTTTGATTTTTTACTTTTGTTAATTATGAAATGTAGGTAAAAGTATATTATATCGTCGATTAATTTATTTAAAAGTGGGGTAAAATTTTAACGACAAGATTTAGATGCTATCATTCTACATTTTTTGCTTCATATTTTTATGGTATAATGTTACTTACACAAAAATTAGTACAATTACAAAAGGGAGTTTTAGATAAATTTTTATGCACTTAATTTTTTTACTATTTGTTATTAGAGGCCACATTTTCAAATTCGTCCCGGGACACCAAAATTTCAGAAACGAGTGTGTCATTCCTAGTAGTATTACTGTTAATTGACATGCAAGCCATGAACCAGACATCGAATTGCACAAATAATCAGTACCAAAACCAACATCACTCTTACATAGAGAAGTAGATGATAATAATAGTGATAATGTGCAAAAGAAACTAAAGTTGAGAAGAACATAATGGGTTTTATTCACAATACACGAAGGACACATTATTCGCACGCTGATAAATCTAAGAAACGGCTAAGAACACAGTTTTTTCCAAAATAAAGTTCTTACAGAAAGGAACCAAATCTTTCACACGGCAGTCTCCTTTGAGATCATGCTGTCAAACACAAATACTGAAAGCGGATGTGAGAGCCAGAACAAACCACATCCGTGGCATATTATGAGCTACGAACTTGACCATAATTTTCAACACTTGGCAACGCCAGGTGGAAGCAAAGAACTGATGATTCCTGTAACACCTTAAGCGAAAACAAAATGGAACTTCAGCAAATTAGGGAGACCATATATCCACAACATCAAGCCAAGCATAGTATCATCTTAGCAAACCCTAAACCCTCAAAACCCTATTCCCCAACCCCTAAAATTCGAGCTAAAAATGATCCTCCACATCCACACACATGAAAACAACAAGGTACACAAATATTTATAGAATCTATGTATTCATTTAAATATATACTCCAAGAACAACGGTAAAACGGCCCGCCGAAATTCAACGAGGATCATCGTCTCTTTGAGCAGAACCTCCCGGAGCACCCGACAGTGAGGCTAACAAATTCAGATTGCCGGGAAGGTAATTTCCAACCCTAGCAGCCGACGCTTCACCCATCGCTTGCTGTTGCTGAACGAAAAACGCAGCTGCAGCTGGTTGCTGAGCAGCCGCCTGTACCACCATCTCCGTAGGATGCGGGGGCGCGAAGCTCCATATTTGACCAAAATCAGGCCTCGCTGGAACAGCCCAGAACGCACCCGTGAGTGTCCCCGCGGGCCCCACGATAGGCCCAAGGCCCGGTCCCACCGTGGCCCCTCCGGATTCGTCCTTCCCGGCTTTATCGTCGTCGGACCTGACACGTTTCCCTAGTAGAAAAGGGGTGGGACCCAACAAAGGTTTATGGTGCAATGACGACGGAGAAGCAGTCGACGACAGAGAAGTTGAATTAGCCCCTCCGCGGACGGAAACCGACACGGTGGAGGAGCTGGCCGGAGTCGTCCCCGTACCCGTAGCGGCTATTATGGAAGGTTCAGCTTGGCGCAACAGCCACTCAATGGTCTGACCGTCGGATTTGTGACCCAACTCGCGAGTCAACTGAAAAACACGAGCGGCGCAGATGATGGGCATCCTGATTCTTCGGCCACGACCGTCGACTTTGCTGTGGCGGTCCTTGGAAGGATGTTTCTCGACGGGAAGGGAACCGTTGGTCGGCGCTTGTTGTCTCTGGGCATCCATTACTGCTCCGTTTGTAGCAGCAGAGTCTGAATTTGACATGCGACAAGTATATAGTATTTCTATTTGAGTCTAACTTAGAATTTCCCCCCTTTGGAGCTGAGAAGATTGCTTGCAGTACTCGAAGGTGTGTGGTGTTAAAAGAGAAGCAAAAAAATTTAATTGAAAACTGATCTAGTATTTACATAGAGGAGATGGGTTTAGGAGTAGGAGCAGAGTGCTAATCATTGAGCGGCAGCAGCCGGTGGAGACAGGTAGGGTCAGCAGAATTCTCTATTTAAAAAATTGATTTTTTTGCCTCAACTAAATTTGAAAAAATTTAATTCGAAATGATTTTGAATTATAATTTTATAAATTCGATTCGAATTTTTTTTAAATTTAAATATAATTCGAATAATTCAAAACTTTTACTTATTAGTAGATAAATTTTCATGTTTGAGTATAGTCATTCAATTATTATACATGAATATCATATATAAAAAATATTCATGTATTTTTTATTATCAAAAATCACATAAAAATGGATTGATATATATATAGATAAAGTAATATCATAATATTATAAATATTGATAATTAAATTTAAACACAAACTCAAAAATTTGATTTGAATCGACTTGAAAAAGTTTTAATCTAATTTTGAGTTGTAAAATAATATTCTTCAATTTAAATAATATTTTTGACTCAAGTTGATTAGACTATATCAAACGCTTACACCTAGATATAAGAGGAAAGGGCACATGCGTGGTGGCTCCCACTTCATACGTCCCTTTTTCAATCACCTTGCCTTTAATATTATCCTACCTATTGGTAAAATTGGGCCAATAATTCAATCGAATTATTTATTTGGTCCAATAAACTAATTTGATATTTATTTTAGAATTTACTCCAAATGCTATACTGTAAAGTAAGTTAGTTATATTCATATGACGAGTTTACTTGGAAATTAATTTTAAATGGACTCAATCTAAGCTCTGTAGGTTTGAATTGTTTATTATATTTTAGAGAATCCATTATATGGACATGATGATTTGAATTAAAATATATTAACTTTTATGAAATAATTAATATTTTTTATTAAAAAAATAAATTTATGAAAGAAAAAAAGTGAAACTCATCACGTTGGCATGATGAATTTGCTTGAATATAAAATTTCTAATATTATGTAAGGGCAGATTCCAACGGATAGTGTAAGTGGAACCCTGTCACACTAGCGTGACGAGTTCCAACAGTCATAATTGAAATTTTTAACATAAATAAGATTGAGTTTTTGGTATTCATATAAGAAAAATACAAGGTTTTGATAATTAAAGAATGTATCTGTGGCATCAAATTGGGTATTATTTGTTGTATAACTAATATTTTGACATAATAAATAAGAGCAAAATGTTTTTGGAGTAAATCGAATTTATTCAAAGTTTTCATCAAAATAATTTAAAGTCCAGTCAAAACCTTAAAATGAGTACTTTGACTAGAAATTTCAAAACTTCTACAAGAGTTTCGAAACAGAGTTTTGAAACTTTCCAAGACAGTTTCTCGAAAAGTTTTGATAATTTCCAATAGTTTCGAAACTATCACAAGAGTTTCAAAACTTTCATAAGTTTAAATACTTTGGGTCTAACGGTCATATTTTTCCAATGACTCTTTCGAAGAGTCGAAACTTTCCCAAAGTTTCGAAAATTTGTGTGCAGAAAATCTTCTAACGGCTTCAAACCTTCCCAAACGACTAGAAACGGCTAGTAACTCATTCCAACATATAAAAACAAGTTGATGACACTTGAAGAATGTTACACAACACCTATCCAAGCAATCAAACACAAGAGAAAAACTTTTCCTTCTCTATTTCTCTTTCCCTTGTAAATATTTGTGTTTTTGTGAGCTTTAATTTGTAAACACCTTCCTTTTTAGAGGTTTTCTTGTTTACAAATCTTTTTCTTTGTAAAAGGGGTTTTGGTTCTAGCTAAGCATTTGAAAAGCTAGGGAGTTTGTAAAAGTTATCTCTTTATCCTTGAAAAAGAAAGAATAAATTAGTGAATTTGTTGAAAAATCTTAAGTGAGGAGCTTAGGTAGTAGATGTAGACTTCATTGAGGGAGTTGAACCACTATAAATCATTGTGTAAATTTTCCTATTTTTATACTCCTTACTCCATAAACTTCAAAAAGCCAATTCACACTCTATTAGCATATTTCGGTTGATCGAACAAGCTTCATTGAGCCTAATATTTGGTATCAAAACTTGACTCATTAGAAGATCTATCAACCTTGAGACGATCCTTAAAGAAGCTCTATCCATTTTTGACACAACCGAGACTATGGCTTTCACCTTCGGCTCGTTCCACATTGAAGACTCTCATCTGATCGACAAGCCTCCATACTTCAATGGAACTAACTACCATCATTGGAAGAAATTAATGAAACTATTCATCCAATCAAACGATCTTGATGCATGGGATATGATCGAGAACAACTACTCTTTTCCAATGAAGAAGACTAAGGAATGGAGTAACCAAGAACGAAAGAACGCCCAACAAAATGTCAAGGCCATGCACATGTTGTTTTGTGCATTTGGTCTCGATGTCTATGAAGGTGTTTTTTTTGTTCAAATGCCAAGGAGCTTTGGAATTAGCTCGAAGAACTTCATGGAGACAAGAAAGAATAATCACCAAAGGTAGTGTGCTTGATGGCTCTTGAGGAGCCCAAGGTATCTTCTAACTTTAATGAATCTGATTAATATTCTTTTAATGAATTACAAGATGCATACAATGAATTATTTTTGGAATTTGAGACAATGAACTCCAAATATAAGAAAATGATTTCAAAATTTAAAGTTGAAAACGATTTTCTTTTGAAAGCAAAATTTGATTTTGAAAAACAAAATGAAATTTTGAAAAATGATTTAGAGCTTTCAAAAGTAAAAATTGAAAATTTTGAAAAAGAAAGCTTTGATTTAAAAGTTAAGCTTGAATGCTTAACAAAAGAAAAGGAAATCATTTTAAATAATTCATATAATTTCATAATGACATAATGTTCACATTGTCATTATCATGGTCACATGGAACATGTTTATCCTTTAAAGAAAGGAAAACATTTTAAAATTAGACAAGAATCGAAAGCAATTTGGATACCAAATCTAATTGAATGTCTCTTGTAGGTATGTGAGAGCAATGATGATGAAAGTGAAGATATTCAAATGTTCTATCCACACTTGATATTGAATGGGTAATCTCTAAGCTTATTTTGATTATCTTGCATAATTGGTTCCTCATTTGGTTTAAGCATGCATGCATTTTGATTTTAAATGATTTAATGTTTTCCATCTCATGTATGATTAAAAAAGTATTGTGATGAACATTTTCTAAAATTTTAATTATTTTTCATAAATGTTTGTTCATCATAATGATTTTTTGTCAAAATTGGTTTCAATGCTTTGTTTTTATAAATTTTAATTTTTGATCTTAATTTAAATGTTTATGCATGTATTTTTTTTTGTAAATGATCGCTCTCTAACAATTGATATCAATTTTTCAAATGCATAATTTTTTTGGATAACTTTATGCACATGTACTTAGATACAACAATTGATACTGCATAAAGTATATTAGACTTGGATATATTGAATTTATTGTGCCACTAACTTGTTTGTTCATCTTTGTTGAAATTTAATGCCTTTTAAGTGTCAAACTTTTAAAGTGAAATATTTTTTTGGAATGCATCTATTGAGGGAAAATTTTGATTTTTCAAATAATTTTAATTCTAAGTTTCTCTACTTACTCTTTATTGTTATTTTTGAACCTAAAGTTTGAATTATTTTTGATATAACAAAAAGGGGGAGATATAGGTTTGAAAAATTCAATCTCAATAATGAAAAAGGAGGAGCTTTAATATTTTCTAAAATATTTTTCTTTTTCATTAAATGTTTTGATAAGGGGGAGCTTTTGCCAAAAACTATTTTTCAAAGGTTTTGTTATATAAAAAGGGGGAGATTGTAGAACTAATATTTTGATATAACAAATATGGGCAAAATATTTTTGGACTAAATTGAATTTATTCAAAGTTTTCATCAAAATAATTCAAAGTCCAATAAAAACCTTAAAATGAGTATTTTAACCAGAAGTTTCGAAACTTCTACAAGAGATTCGAAACTTTCCAAGACAGTTTCCTGAAAAGTTTACTACCTCAAGAGTTTTGAAACTTTCATTAAATTTTTGATACTTTGAGTCCAACGATCATATTTTTTCAACGGCTCTTTCGAAGAGTTTTGAAACTGTGTGAAAAAAGTCTTCCAATGACTTTAAACCTCCCAAACGGCTAGAAACGACTAGTAACTCATTCTACTATATAAAAACAAGTTGAGGACACTTGGAGAATGTTACACAACACCTATCCTAGAAATCAAACACATGAGAAAAGCTTTTCATTCTTTATTTCTCATTCTCTTGTAAATATTTGTGTTTTTCTGAGCTTTAATTTGTAAATACCTTACTTTTTAAAGGTTTTCTTGTTTATAATTCTTTTCCTTTGTAAACGGGGTTTGGTTCTAGCTAAGCCTTTGAAAAGATAGGGAGTTTGTAAAGGTTATCTCTTTATCATTGAAAAAGAAAGAACAAATTAGTGGATTTGTTAGAAAATTTAAAGTGAGGAGCTTATATAATACCCCAAAACCTGGGTTAGTAGTTTGGGTCAACCCAAGAACTTTAAGTTAAGCCAATTAGACCTTCCAAGATAGCTAGACCAAGTTATATAGGTGTTGGGCCTAAGGTAGGCCCAAGAGTTAAAGCTAAGAGATAGTTTTAAAGTGAGTTAATAGGTGAAGGACCCAAAAGTGTAGTTTACCCATTTTGTTGAAGTTGAAAACTTTCCCCCTCTTTTTATATAATTTCACGTAACCAAACTCCCTATAATATCTCACCCACTCTTCTTTTTCTTCATTCAATTAGTTTTCATTTCTTATTCATTTCAAGAGCCAAGTTTCAAGCATTCAAATCTTAGATTTGTTTAGCCAAGGTAAGAATGTTTCTCTCCATCATTCAAGCTTTATTTCAAGCTCCATTTTGTGAGTTTTAGAATTTCTTTTCAAAATGGGATTTTGGGAGTTTGAAAGGAACATAGATATTTAAGCTTGTTTTGAGTAATATTAAGTAGTATAGAGTGTTTTAACTTAGTTTCCAAGTTAAAGACAGTAACCCCTAGTTTTGTTTTGATTAGTCAAT